ACTCCAAGAACATTATCTATACTTATCTTTTGTGGAACAGTATCCGGTGTGTATTTATATAAAAATGTTTGAACCCAATTGAGGTCAGAAAATAAGTTAGAACTCGGAAAGCTTTTTAACGGCTTGTGCGCGTTTGAAATTAATGTAATTTTTACTATTAAGACTAGTTTTGAAATTAATGTAGGCGTTCTTGCAGTCTTCTACTACTTTTGAACATTTATCATTCCACCAAGGTACTTGACACGTTTTTCTAGGACGGTTATTATTACTATCAGTTATGTTATGGTTTAAGCTGGGCCCGGAGAATTTGATTGCCAATAGAATAATTGAACAAAACTTTCTGTATGAGTCATGGAAATCACTATTGTCAACTTTAAAGTTCATTAACATTTTATTAACAGTTTGGTCATAACTATCCCAATTTACTAATTTCAGATTGCTGTGAAAAGGAATGCTGTTCAAGGAAATAGAGGGCTCATGTTGATCTCTTACGAGAGTAAATTTTGTGATAGTTGGCGGATGATAACTGCCTAAAGGGTCCTGATGAAGTTGCCAGTCACAAGAAAGAAATAAAGAAGAAGACACCATAGTTAAATCTAGACTGTTAGGTTTCCAAATAAGAGAACCTATAGTTGTTGGTTGACCATTATTTAAAAGTATTAAGTTATTGTCATCCATGGAATCCATAATAGCTCTGCCCCGAGAATCTATGCGACTGCAACCCGAAAAAGTGTGATGGGCGTTAAAATCACCTGCAATTATCAAGGGTTTTGGAATACTGTACAATAAACGATCGAACTTCGCCTTTTCACAAGCAGGAAAACTGTTACCAGGACTGTAAAAACTAACCAAATAAATGTATTTATGTTTCAGTTTAATAACAATTACTACATTTTGTAACGAATCATCATAAAAAGTATCTAGTTTAGAGAAATGTATACCATTTTTAATTAATAATGCTACGCCATTATGATCATTACCGCAGTCATTAGTATTCATGGTATAACCACATAAATTAAATTGAATGCTAGGCTTGATCCAAGTTTCTGAAATAAGAGCTACCTGTATATTATTTTGGTTTACAAAATTTTGAAACTCTAGTCTGTTACTTAACAGACTGAGCATTCCACTGTACAATATTTAAGATTTAGTGGTAGAATGTGACGATTTGCTATTTTTGTCTTGGACGGTTTCTTTAATAGCTGAGCTAATAAAATGTGAACTAATACTTATATCTTGAGTTTTATTTAAAGTTATAACTTTTACTATAGATTTTGTTAATAGTCATAGTTTCAGAATTTGATAGTATTGCTTGTATTACTTCTTGGGTATTTAATTTTTTATTAAGGGAGGGAAAATTTAATGAATCTTTTAACGTGTCAGCATATGACTTGGGTTTACTGTTTGCGATTTTCTTTTGTCTTACAGGGCACTGGCTAGAGATGGCAATGTGATTGCCATTACAATTAATGTTAAGCTTTTTCAATGTTAACCTTGCATTCTCTGAAAGAATACCCCTCTGTGCATATGGAGCATCGCGGTGAAGTTTTACAAAACTTTGCAAATTATAGTATAAAACTATTTAAAATAATTAAAAGAAGATTGTCCACTTAGTATGGGGACTTTGGCCTGACGTGAACAGACATTTTATCATATTTTTTGTAATTAGTTTAAAAGCACTAACTAGTAATAATGAGAATATGAACTTAATTTTGTATCAAAATGTTTAAAAAGAGATTTTTGTCATGTGAGGAAAAACAGGTTAAAGCAAAATAAAACAACATTTATGATTTATTTTTAATCTGAGACATCATATGTTATTAATATGTGTTCAAGAAATTGGACAGGTGGTGAAATGTGTTCCTGATACCTTGCCCAACTTAAAAACCATAAAATAGTCATTATATGAGCGCAACAACCCACTGTCCTTCGACCAACCATACAATTACAATAATATTCTTTTATAGCTTCCTTACCATTGTGATTATAAGTATTCTTTATTGTACACCAAAAGAATAAATAAGTTATACAGTAAATTATAAAACTTGATCAAAATGTACAATTGGCGGCCTTATCGCTAAGCAGCGATCTCTGCCAGGCAACCATGTTACGTAGGACACAGTAAACAGTAATTAAATATTTCAGGTGTACATATATAAGAGAAAAATATACTTAAACGAAATTATATACATATATATATAGTAAACATATATATATACTACATTCAATATACAATAATCTATATATATAATTTATACAACAGTTTAAATATGACTATAAGTAACATACAATAATAAATTTAAAATATAAGCCAGATACATCGCAGAGTAGGAATTTATAATAAATAGTAAAATAAAAATCATAAATATTAAGGAAACAGGTAGACAAAATTTAAGGGGGAAGAAGTTTGCTTTTAACAACCTTTTAAATATTGCTAGGGATTGAGCACGCCGTATGGTAAGTGGTAAGGAATTCCAGAGCCGTACAGCTTCCACAGAAAAGGATTTAGAATAGAAGAATGTATTGTGGGAGGGGATTTTTAAAATCAAGTTATCGTCAGAACGAAGAGAGCGACAATGAGAATCACTCAGGAATTCAAAGCGGTTTTTAAGGTATGAGGGAGAGGTAGGATTAAATAGGATATTGTATAATAGGGAAAGAATGTGAGTATTCCTGCGAAGGCGGATTGAGGGCCACTTGAGTTTTTCGCGAAATTCTGAAACATGGTCATATTTACGAAGTCCAAATATGAACCGTATACAAAGATTCTGGATGCGCTCAAGTTTATTAAGCAATTCCTCACTTAAATTGAGATAACAGGTATCAGCATAATCGAGAATCGGTAGCAGGAGAGATTGTGCAAGCACAATTTTAGTTGGTATCGGTAGAAAATTTCGCAATCTACGAAGAGACCCGATAGATGCAAACACTTTCCTGCTCACCTCGCTTACTTGGGGGGTCCAGGTCAGAAATCTATCGAAAACAACACCTAGATTTTTTACAGTTTCACTGTATGGAACAAGTGTTCCATCAACAATTATATTAGGCAAATTGGGCCAATCAATGCGCGAAACTAGTTTTTTGACTGCCGATTATAATTGCTTGTGTCTTTAAAGGATTTACTTTAAGTCCATGTGATTTACTCCAAAGTACAATAGATTCAAGGTCTTTATTTAATGTTTGAATTGTTTTAGGCAAATCAATTAATTTTGAATGTTTATATAATTGGAGATCGTCGGCATACAGGTGGTAGAGAGAAGATAATTGAGAAGTAATGCGATTAATGAAAATAGAGAAAAGGAGAGGAGACAACACGCCACCTTGCGGCACACCGGCCTTGATCGTGCACCAATTGGAAAAGGAATCATCAACACGAATCCGTTGCCGGCGACCGCAAAGATAATTTTGAAACCAGTCAATCACTGCAGGAGATATGTTAAGAGAGCATAATGTAGCTAGTAAGAGCTCGTGGTCAACATTATTAAAGGCATTGCTGAAATCTAGTAAGATCAACGCTGTTAGACATTGATTATCCATAGCAAGGCGTATATCCTCGGTAATTTTCACTAACGCAGTAGTCGTACTATGGCCTATTCGGAAACCAGATTGAAAAAGGTTAAGGAGGTTTTGTCTAGATAGGAAAAGGTTTAATTGTCGATGCACAATACGTTCAAATACTTTAGATAGGAAAGGAAGTATGGAAATAGGACGGTAATCGGAAAAGCGGGAGGGATTTGATTTTTTAGGTAGGGGAATAACTTGGGCATCTTTCCAGGAAGAGGGAAATGATCCAGTGGAAATGGAGTAATTGAATATATTTTTAATAATAGGAACTAGGATGTCCATGATTGGGATGATCATCTTACGACTAATGGAGTCAGTACCGATAGCATCAGAGTTCACCTCTACAATACCTCTCTCAACATCACTATCAGTGATATGACAAGAAATGAAAGCGGGATCATTAGAAGTGGGTAAAGCTAGAATTTGATTTTTAGTATTTAATTTCGTGGCATCATCGATAGAGCAAGAAGACGAGAAGTGCAGATTAAGCTGATTCAAATCAATATTACTAGGATGGTTATTATGACGTGCTTTCCCAACTCCAATAGATTTAAGAAATTTCCAAACTCGGCCAGTATCTTCTTCGTCGAGTATTGATTTATGAATGTGGCGTCGTTGTTTATCTCTACACAACCTGTTGCAACGGTTCCGAATATTTTTATACCTGATTCTATTTTCGTCAGAACTATCGGCCTTGTATTTTGATTTCGCAATGTTTTTTTTGTGCTGCAATGTTTTAATATCCTGCGTAAGCCAGGGAGCAGGAAGATGCCTGAGCCGAACAGGTCGAATAGGGGCATGTTTGTCATATAATTGTACTAGAAGTGTGTTGAAATTTGCCACTCGGTTATCAATATTGGTATCCGTGACAACATCCTTCCAATCAATTTTTAAAGCATCCACCCTTAAATGCTCTAAATTCATACCACTAAAATTGCGCTGCAGAAGGATTCTCGATTTGGCTTTAGGGGGGCGTATTCTGTAGGAAAGATAAATCAAATCATGATAGGAGAAGGCTTCAGCAGAGCATTGGCCATGCTTAGCGACATAATCTGTGGAAGAAACAATAATAAGATCTAGAAGAGACGGGGTACAGTTAGGGAAACAGTGAGTTGCAGAAAGAGGGAGTATATGAATATTGGCAGATTGGACTAGTGATCTTAGCCGAGAAGAGCGAGAGTCAGATTTTAAAAGGCACGTATTAAAATCTCCCATTATGATGGAATGTTGATACAGTGGAATATACTGGTCTAGAAGGGATTCAAAGGTAGTAAAATAGTCAATCATTGAATTAGGGCTATAAAACACACCGAGCAAAATCTTAACTTTCGAAAATGCTAGTTCAATCATTAAATATTCTACTCCTGGTGTTGCTTGAACACTAGACGTGTCAATGATCGTAAAGGACAGGTGGGAGCGAACCTGGAGATTTTGAGTTACTTATATAGTAACTCAAAATCTCCAGGCCATATCGGACAACCAGATCCTGATAGTGATTCTTTGTAGCTGTTATTATATGTTTCATACTTATATAGTAACTCAAAATCTCCAGGCCATATCGGACAACCAGATCCTGATAGTGATTCTTTGTAGCTGTTATTATATGTTTCATACTTATATAGTAACTCAAAATCTCCAGGCCATATCGGACAAGCAGATCCTGATAGTGATTCTTTGTAGCTGTTATTATATGTTTCATACTTATATAGTAACTCAAAATCTCCAGGCCATATCGGACAACCAGATCCTGATAGTGATTCTTTGTAGCTGTTATTATATGTTTCATACTTATATAGTAACTCAAAATCTCCAGGCCATATCGGACAACCAGATCCTGATAGTGATTCTTTGTAGCTGTTATTATATGTTTCATACTTATATAGTAACTCAAAATCTCCAGGCCATATCGGACAACCAGATCCTGATAGTGATTCTTTGTAGCTGTTATTATATGTTTCATACTTATATAGTAACTCAAAATCTCCAGGCCATATCGGACAACCAGATCCTGATAGTGATTCTTTGTAGCTGTTATTATATGTTTCATACTTATATAGTAACTCAAAATCTCCAGGCCATATCGGACAACCAGATCCTGATAGTGATTCTTTGTAGCTGTTATTATATGTTTCATACTTATATAGTAACTCAAAATCTCCAGGCCATATCGGACAACCAGATCCTGATAGTGATTCTTTGTAGCTGTTATTATATGTTTCATACTTATATAGTAACTCAAAATCTCCAGGCCATATCGGACAACCAGATCCTGATAGTGATTCTTTGTAGCTGTTATTATATGTTTCATACTTATATAGTAACTCAAAATCTCCAGGCCATATCGGACAAGCAGATCCTGATAGTGATTCTTTGTAGCTGTTATTATATGTTTCATACTTATATAGTAACTCAAAATCTCCAGGCCATATCGGACAACCAGATCCTGATAGTGATTCTTTGTAGCTGTTATTATATGTTTCATACTTATATAGTAACTCAAAATCTCCAGGCCATATCGGACAACCAGATCCTGATAGTGATTCTTTGTAGCTGTTATTATATGTTTCATACTTATATAGTAACTCAAAATCTCCAGGCCATATCGGACAACCAGATCCTGATAGTGATTCTTTGTAGCTGTTATTATATGTTTCATACTTATATAGTAACTCAAAATCTCCAGGCCATATCGGACAACCAGATCCTGATAGTGATTCTTTGTAGCTGTTATTTATATGTTTCATACTTATATAGTAACTCAAAATCTCCAGGCCATATCGGACAACCAGATCCTGATAGTGATTCTTTGTAGCTGTTATTATATGTTTCATACTTATATAGTAACTCAAAATCTCCAGGCCATATCGGACAAGCAGATCCTGATAGTGATTCTTTGTAGCTGTTATTATATGTTTCATACTTATATAGTAACTCAAAATCTCCAGGCCATATCGGACAAGCAGATCCTGATAGTGATTCTTTGTAGCTGTTATTATATGTTTCATACTTATATAGTAACTCAAAATCTCCAGGCCATATCGGACAACCAGATCCTGATAGTGATTCTTTGTAGCTGTTATTATATGTTTCATACTTATATAGTAACTCAAAATCTCCAGGCCATATCGGACAAGCAGATCCTGATAGTGATTCTTTGTAGCTGTTATTATATGTTTCATACTTATATAGTAACTCAAAATCTCCAGGCCATATCGGACAAGCAGATCCTGATAGTGATTCTTTGTAGCTGTTATTATATGTTTCATACTTATATAGTAACTCAAAATCTCCAGGCCATATCGGACAACCAGATCCTGATAGTGATTCTTTGTAGCTGTTATTATATGTTTCATACTTATATAGTAACTCAAAATCTCCAGGCCATATCGGACAACCAGATCCTGATAGTGATTCTTTGTAGCTGTTATTATATGTTTCATACTTATATAGTAACTCAAAATCTCCAGGCCATATCGGACAACCAGATCCTGATAGTGATTCTTTGTAGCTGTTATTATATGTTTCATACTTATATAGTAACTCAAAATCTCCAGGCCATATCGGACAACCAGATCCTGATAGTGATTCTTTGTAGCTGTTATTATATGTTTCATACTTATATAGTAACTAAAAATCTCCAGGCCATATCGGACAAGCAGATCCTGATAGTGATTCTTTGTAGCTGTTATTATATGTTTCATACTTATATAGTAACTCAAAATCTCCAGGCCATATCGGACAACCAGATCCTGATAGTGATTCTTTGTAGCTGTTATTATATGTTTCATACTTATATAGTAACTCAAAATCTCCAGGCCATATCGGACAAGCAGATCCTGATAGTGATTCTTTGTAGCTGTTATTATATGTTTCATACTTATATAGTAACTCAAAATCTCCAGGCCATATCGGACAACCAGATCCTGATAGTGATTCTTTGTAGCTGTTATTATATGTTTCATACTTATATAGTAACTCAAAATCTCCAGGCCATATCGGACAACCAGATCCTGATAGTGATTCTTTGTAGCTGTTATTATATGTTTCATACTTATATAGTAACTCAAAATCTCCAGGCCATATCGGACAACCAGATCCTGATAGTGATTCTTTGTAGCTGTTATTATATGTTTCATACTTATATAGTAACTCAAAATCTCCAGGCCATATCGGACAACCAGATCCTGATAGTGATTCTTTGTAGCTGTTATTATATGTTTCATACTTATATAGTAACTCAAAATCTCCAGGCCATATCGGACAACCAGATCCTGATAGTGATTCTTTGTAGCTGTTATTATATGTTTCATACTTATATAGTAACTCAAAATCTCCAGGCCATATCGGACAACCAGATCCTGATAGTGATTCTTTGTAGCTGTTATTATATGTTTCATACTTATATAGTAACTCAAAATCTCCAGGCCATATCGGACAACCAGATCCTGATAGTGATTCTTTGTAGCTGTTATTATATGTTTCATACTTATATAGTAACTCAAAATCTCCAGGCCATATCGGACAACCAGATCCTGATAGTGATTCTTTGTAGCTGTTATTATATGTTTCATACTTATATAGTAACTCAAAATCTCCAGGCCATATCGGACAACCAGATCCTGATAGTGATTCTTTGTAGCTGTTATTATATGTTTCATACTTATATAGTAACTCAAAATCTCCAGGCCATATCGGACAACCAGATCCTGATAGTGATTCTTTGTAGCTGTTATTATATGTTTCATACTTATATAGTAACTCAAAATCTCCAGGCCATATCGGACAACCAGATCCTGATAGTGATTCTTTGTAGCTGTTATTATATGTTTCATACTTATATAGTAACTCAAAATCTCCAGGCCATATCGGACAACCAGATCCTGATAGTGATTCTTTGTAGCTGTTATTATATGTTTCATACTTATATAGTAACTCAAAATCTCCAGGCCATATCGGACAACCAGATCCTGATAGTGATTCTTTGTAGCTGTTATTATATGTTTCATACTTATATAGTAACTCAAAATCTCCAGGCCATATCGAACAAACAGATCCTGATAGTGATTCTTTGTAGCTGTTATTATATGTTTCATACTTATATAGTAACTCAAAATCTCCAGGCCATATCGGACAACCAGATCCTGATAGTGATTCTTTGTAGCTGTTATTATATGTTTCATACTTATATAGTAACTCAAAATCTCCAGGCCATATCGGACAACCAGATCCTGATAGTGATTCTTTGTAGCTGTTATTATATGTTTCATACTTATATAGTAACTCAAAATCTCCAGGCCATATCGGACAAGCAGATCCTGATAGTGATTCTTTGTAGCTGTTATTATATGTTTCATACTTATATAGTAACTCAAAATCTCCAGGCCATATCGGACAAGCAGATCCTGATAGTGATTCTTTGTAGCTGTTATTATATGTTTCATACTTATATAGTAACTCAAAATCTCCAGGCCATATCGGACAACCAGATCCTGATAGTGATTCTTTGTAGCTGTTATTATATGTTTCATACTTATATAGTAACTCAAAATCTCCAGGCCATATCGGACAACCAGATCCTGATAGTGATTCTTTGTAGCTGTTATTATATGTTTCATACTTATATAGTAACTCAAAATCTCCAGGCCATATCGGACAACCAGATCCTGATAGTGATTCTTTGTAGCTGTTATTATATGTTTCATACTTATATAGTAACTCAAAATCTCCAGGCCATATCGGACAACCAGATCCTGATAGTGATTCTTTGTAGCTGTTATTATATGTTTCATACTTATATAGTAACTCAAAATCTCCAGGCCATATCGGACAACCAGATCCTGATAGTGATTCTTTGTAGCTGTTATTATATGTTTCATACTTATATAGTAACTCAAAATCTCCAGGCCATATCGGACAAGCAGATCCTGATAGTGATTCTTTGTAGCTGTTATTATATGTTTCATACTTATATAGTAACTCAAAATCTCCAGGCCATATCGGACAAGCAGATCCTGATAGTGATTCTTTGTAGCTGTTATTATATGTTTCATACTTATATAGTAACTCAAAATCTCCAGGCCATATCGGACAACCAGATCCTGATAGTGATTCTTTGTAGCTGTTATTATATGTTTCATACTTATATAGTAACTCAAAATCTCCAGGCCATATCGGACAACCAGATCCTGATAGTGATTCTTTGTAGCTGTTATTATATGTTTCATACTTATATAGTAACTCAAAATCTCCAGGCCATATCGGACAACCAGATCCTGATAGTGATTCTTTGTAGCTGTTATTATATGTTTCATACTTATATAGTAACTCAAAATCTCCAGGCCATATCGGACAACCAGATCCTGATAGTGATTCTTTGTAGCTGTTATTATATGTTTCATACTTATATAGTAACTCAAAATCTCCAGGCCATATCGGACAACCAGATCCTGATAGTGATTCTTTGTAGCTGTTATTATATGTTTCATACTTATATAGTAACTCAAAATCTCCAGGCCATATCGGACAACCAGATCCTGATAGTGATTCTTTGTAGCTGTTATTATATGTTTCATACTTATATAGTAACTCAAAATCTCCAGGCCATATCGGACAACCAGATCCTGATAGTGATTCTTTGTAGCTGTTATTATATGTTTCATACTTATATAGTAACTAAAAATCTCCAGGCCATATCGGACAAGCAGATCCTGATAGTGATTCTTTGTAGCTGTTATTATATGTTTCATACTTATACAGGGTGACTGGTGAATTACTATCAATATTTAAGGAGCATACTCGGTACATGATTCTCATTCGAATTATGTAAAAAAAATAGGCACTTAATTTTTGACAAAATTTCCGTATAAATAAATAAAGTGTTGACACGTTCCAAATGTTCAAGTGTGGACGCGTGCGGCGACGTGCTGATACAACACTACGTCACGACACGCGTATGTGTGAGTGTCAGTGTATACCTAATCTGTAGGGTGTTCATACGATGCGTAATTAATTACATAAGTTTTGGTTAACTTTACTTAGAAGTTTATTAATATTTATGTTATATTAATTTTTATTTTGTCATATATGATCGTCAAATATCACGTCCTCAAATATCGATAGCAATTCACCAGTCACCCTGTATAGTAACTCAAAATCTCCAGGCCATATCGGACAACCAGATCCTGATAGTGATTCTTTGTAGCTGTTATTATATGTTTCATACTTATATAGTAACTCAAAATCTCCAGGCCATATCGGACAACCAGATCCTGATAGTGATTCTTTGTAGCTGTTATTATATGTTTCATACTTATATAGTAACTCAAAATCTCCAGGCCATATCGGACAACCAGATCCTGATAGTGATTCTTTGTAGCTGTTATTATATGTTTCATACTTATATAGTAACTCAAAATCTCCAGGCCATATCGGACAACCAGATCCTGATAGTGATTCTTTGTAGCTGTTATTATATGTTTCATACTTATATAGTAACTCAAAATCTCCAGGCCATATCGGACAAGCAGATCCTGATAGTGATTCTTTGTAGCTGTTATTATATGTTTCATACTTATATAGTAACTCAAAATCTCCAGGCCATATCGGACAACCAGATCCTGATAGTGATTCTTTGTAGCTGTTATTATATGTTTCATACTTATATAGTAACTCAAAATCTCCAGGCCATATCGGACAACCAGATCCTGATAGTGATTCTTTGTAGCTGTTATTATATGTTTCATACTTATATAGTAACTCAAAATCTCCAGGCCATATCGGACAACCAGATCCTGATAGTGATTCTTTGTAGCTGTTATTATATGTTTCATACTTATATAGTAACTCAAAATCTCCAGGCCATATCGGACAACCAGATCCTGATAGTGATTCTTTGTAGCTGTTATTATATGTTTCATACTTATATAGTAACTCAAAATCTCCAGGCCATATCGGACAACCAGATCCTGATAGTGATTCTTTGTAGCTGTTATTATATGTTTCATACTTATATAGTAACTCAAAATCTCCAGGCCATATCGGACAAGCAGATCCTGATAGTGATTCTTTGTAGCTGTTATTATATGTTTCATACTTATATAGTAACTCAAAATCTCCAGGCCATATCGGACAAGCAGATCCTGATAGTGATTCTTTGTAGCTGTTATTATATGTTTCATACTTATATAGTAACTCAAAATCTCCAGGCCATATCGGACAACCAGATCCTGATAGTGATTCTTTGTAGCTGTTATTATATGTTTCATACTTATATAGTAACTCAAAATCTCCAGGCCATATCGGACAACCAGATCCTGATAGTGATTCTTTGTAGCTGTTATTATATGTTTCATACTTATATAGTAACTCAAAATCTCCAGGCCATATCGGACAACCAGATCCTGATAGTGATTCTTTGTAGCTGTTATTATATGTTTCATACTTATATAGTAACTCAAAATCTCCAGGCCATATCGGACAACCAGATCCTGATAGTGATTCTTTGTAGCTGTTATTATATGTTTCATACTTATATAGTAACTCAAAATCTCCAGGCCATATCGGACAACCAGATCCTGATAGTGATTCTTTGTAGCTGTTATTATATGTTTCATACTTATATAGTAACTCAAAATCTCCAGGCCATATCGGACAACCAGATCCTGATAGTGATTCTTTGTAGCTGTTATTATATGTTTCATACTTATATAGTAACTCAAAATCTCCAGGCCATATCGGACAACCAGATCCTGATAGTGATTCTTTGTAGCTGTTATTATATGTTTCATACTTATATAGTAACTCAAAATCTCCAGGCCATATCGGACAACCAGATCCTGATAGTGATTCTTTGTAGCTGTTATTATATGTTTCATACTTATATAGTAACTCAAAATCTCCAGGCCATATCGGACAACCAGATCCTGATAGTGATTCTTTGTAGCTGTTATTATATGTTTCATACTTATATAGTAACTCAAAATCTCCAGGCCATATCGGACAACCAGATCCTGATAGTGATTCTTTGTAGCTGTTATTATATGTTTCATACTTATATAGTAACTCAAAATCTCCAGGCCATATCGGACAAGCAGATCCTGATAGTGATTCTTTGTAGCTGTTATTATATGTTTCATACTTATATAGTAACTCAAAATCTCCAGGCCATATCGGACAAGCAGATCCTGATAGTGATTCTTTGTAGCTGTTATTATATGTTTCATACTTATATAGTAACTCAAAATCTCCAGGCCATATCGGACAACCAGATCCTGATAGTGATTCTTTGTAGCTGTTATTATATGTTTCATACTTATATAGTAACTCAAAATCTCCAGGCCATATCGGACAACCAGATCCTGATAGTGATTCTTTGTAGCTGTTATTATATGTTTCATACTTATATAGTAACTCAAAATCTCCAGGCCATATCGGACAAGCAGATCCTGATAGTGATTCTTTGTAGCTGTTATTATATGTTTCATACTCTTATAGTAACTCAAAATCTCCAGGCCATATCGGACAACCAGATCCTGATAGTGATTCTTTGTAGCTGTTATTATATGTTTCATACTTATATAGTAACTCAAAATCTCCAGGCCATATCGGACAACCAGATCCTGATAGTGATTCTTTGTAGCTGTTATTATATGTTTCATACTTATATAGTAACTCAAAATCTCCAGGCCATATCGGACAACCAGATCCTGATAGTGATTCTTTGTAGCTGTTATTATATGTTTCATACTTATATAGTAACTCAAAATCTCCAGGCCATATCGGACAACCAGATCCTGATAGTGATTCTTTGTAGCTGTTATTATATGTTTCATACTTATATAGTAACTCAAAATCTCCAGGCCATATCGGACAACCAGATCCTGATAGTGATTCTTTGTAGCTGTTATTATATGTTTCATACTTATATAGTAACTCAAAATCTCCAGGCCATATCGGACAAGCAGATCCTGATAGTGATTCTTTGTAGCTGTTATTATATGTTTCATACTTATATAGTAACTCAAAATCTCCAGGCCATATCGGACAACCAGATCCTGATAGTGATTCTTTGTAGCTGTTATTATATGTTTCATACTTATATAGTAACTCAAAATCTCCAGGCCATATCGGACAACCAGATCCTGATAGTGATTCTTTGTAGCTGTTATTATATGTTTCATACTTATATAGTAACTCAAAATCTCCAGGCCATATCGGACAACCAGATCCTGATAGTGATTCTTTGTAGCTGTTATTATATGTTTCATACTTATATAGTAACTCAAAATCTCCAGGCCATATCGGACAACCAGATCCTGATAGTGATTCTTTGTAGCTGTTATTATATGTTTCATACTTATATAGTAACTCAAAATCTCCAGGCCATATCGGACAAGCAGATCCTGATAGTGATTCTTTGTAGCTGTTATTATATGTTTCATACTTATATAGTAACTCAAAATCTCCAGGCCATATCGGACAAGCAGATCCTGATAGTGATTCTTTGTAGCTGTTATTATATGTTTCATACTTATATAGTAACTCAAAATCTCCAGGCCATATCGGACAACCAGATCCTGATAGTGATTCTTTGTAGCTGTTATTATATGTTTCATACTTATATAGTAACTCAAAATCTCCAGGCCATATCGGACAACCAGATCCTGATAGTGATTCTTTGTAGCTGTTATTATATGTTTCATACTTATATAGTAACTCAAAATCTCCAGGCCATATCGGACAACCAGATCCTGATAGTGATTCTTTGTAGCTGTTATTATATGTTTCATACTTATATAGTAACTCAAAATCTCCAGGCCATATCGGACAAGCAGATCCTGATAGTGATTCTTTGTAGCTGTTATTATATGTTTCATACTTATATAGTAACTCAAAATCTCCAGGCCATATCGGACAACCAGATCCTGATAGTGATTCTTTGTAGCTGTTATTATATGTTTCATACTTATATAGTAACTCAAAATCTCCAGGCCATATCGGACAACCAGATCCTGATAGTGATTCTTTGTAGCTGTTATTATATGTTTCATACTTATATAGTAACTCAAAATCTCCAGGCCATATCGGACAACCAGATCCTGATAGTGATTCTTTGTAGCTGTTATTATATGTTTCATACTTATATAGTAACTCAAAATCTCCAGGCCATATCGGACAAGCAGATCCTGATAGTGATTCTTTGTAGCTGTTATTATATGTTTCATACTTATATAGTAACTCAAAATCTCCAGGCCATATCGGACAACCAGATCCTGATAGTGATTCTTTGTAGCTGTTATTATATGTTTCATACTTATATAGTAACTCAAAATCTCCAGGCCATATCGGACAAGCAGATCCTGATAGTGATTCTTTGTAGCTGTTATTATATGTTTCATACTTATATAGTAACTCAAAATCTCCAGGCCATATCGGACAACCAGATCCTGATAGTGATTCTTTGTAGCTGTTATTATATGTTTCATACTTATATAGTAACTCAAAATCTCCAGGCCATATCGGACAACCAGATCCTGATAGTGATTCTTTGTAGCTGTTATTATATGTTTCATACTTATATAGTAACTCAAAATCTCCAGGCCATATCGGACAACCAGATCCTGATAGTGATTCTTTGTAGCTGTTATTATATGTTTCATACTTATATAGTAACTCAAAATCTCCAGGCCATATCGGACAACCAGATCCTGATAGTGATTCTTTGTAGCTGTTATTATATGTTTCATACTTATATAGTAACTCAAAATCTCCAGGCCATATCGGACAACCAGATCCTGATAGTGATTCTTTGTAGCTGTTATTATATGTTTCATACTTATATAGTAACTCAAAATCTCCAGGCCATATCGGACAACCAGATCCTGATAGTGATTCTTTGTAGCTGTTATTATATGTTTCATACTTATATAGTAACTCAAAATCTCCAGGCCATATCGGACAACCAGATCCTGATAGTGATTCTTTGTAGCTGTTATTATATGTTTCATACTTATATAGTAACTCAAAATCTCCAGGCCATATCGGACAACCAGATCCTGATAGTGATTCTTTGTAGCTGTTATTATATGTTTCATACTTATATAGTAACTCAAAATCTCCAGGCCATATCGGACAACCAGATCCTGATAGTGATTCTTTGTAGCTGTTATTATATGTTTCATACTTATATAGTAACTCAAAATCTCCAGGCCATATCGGACAACCAGATCCTGATAGTGATTCTTTGTAGCTGTTATTATATGTTTCATACTTATATAGTAACTCAAAATCTCCAGGCCATATCGGACAACCAGATCCTGATAGTGATTCTTTGTAGCTGTTATTATATGTTTCATACTTATATAGTAACTCAAAATCTCCAGGCCATATCGGACAACCAGATCCTGATAGTGATTCTTTGTAGCTGTTATTATATGTTTCATACTTATATAGTAACTCAAAATCTCCAGGCCATATCGGACAAGCAGATCCTGATAGTGATTCTTTGTAGCTGTTATTATATGTTTCATACTTATATAGTAACTCAAAATCTCCAGGCCATATCGGACAAGCAGATCCTGATAGTGATTCTTTGTAGCTGTTATTATATGTTTCATACTTATATAGTAACTCAAAATCTCCAGGCCATATCGGACAACCAGATCCTGATAGTGATTCTTTGTAGCTGTTATTATATGTTTCATACTTATATAGTAACTCAAAATCTCCAGGCCATATCGGACAACCAGATCCTGATAGTGATTCTTTGTAGCTGTTATTATATGTTTCATACTTATATAGTAACTCAAAATCTCCAGGCCATATCGGACAACCAGATCCTGATAGTGATTCTTTGTAGCTGTTATTATATGTTTCATACTTATATAGTAACTCAAAATCTCCAGGCCATATCGGACAACCAGATCCTGATAGTGATTCTTTGTAGCTGTTATTATATGTTTCATACTTATATAGTAACTCAAAATCTCCAGGCCATATCGGACAACCAGATCCTGATAGTGATTCTTTGTAGCTGTTATTATATGTTTCATACTTATATAGTAACTCAAAATCTCCAGGCCATATCGGACAACCAGATCCTGATAGTGATTCTTTGTAGCTGTTATTATATGTTTCATACTTATATAGTAACTCAAAATCTCCAGGCCATATCGGACAACCAGATCCTGATAGTGATTCTTTGTAGCTGTTATTATATGTTTCATACTTATATAGTAACTCAAAATCTCCAGGCCATATCGGACAACCAGATCCTGATAGTGATTCTTTGTAGCTGTTATTATATGTTTCATACTTATATAGTAACTCAAAATCTCCAGGCCATATCGGACAACCAGATCCTGATAGTGATTCTTTGTAGCTGTTATTATATGTTTCATACTTATATAGTAACTCAAAATCTCCAGGCCATATCGGACAACCAGATCCTGATAGTGATTCTTTGTAGCTGTTATTATATGTTTCATACTTATATAGTAACTCAAAATCTCCAGGCCATATCGGACAACCAGATCCTGATAGTGATTCTTTGTAGCTGTTATTATATGTTTCATACTTATATAGTAACTCAAAATCTCCAGGCCATATCGGACAACCAGATCCTGATAGTGATTCTTTGTAGCTGTTATTATATGTTTCATACTTATATAGTAACTCAAAATCTCCAGGCCATATCGGACAACCAGATCCTGATAGTGATTCTTTGTAGCTGTTATTATATGTTTCATACTTATATAGTAACTCAAAATCTCCAGGCCATATCGGACAACCAGATCCTGATAGTGATTCTTTGTAGCTGTTATTATATGTTTCATACTTATATAGTAACTCAAAATCTCCAGGCCATATCGGACAACCAGATCCTGATAGTGATTCTTTGTAGCTGTTATTATATGTTTCATACTTATATAGTAACTCAAAATCTCCAGGCCATATCGGACAACCAGATCCTGATAGTGATTCTTTGTAGCTGTTATTATATGTTTCATACTTATATAGTAACTCAAAATCTCCAGGCCATATCGGACAACCAGATCCTGATAGTGATTCTTTGTAGCTGTTATTATATGTTTCATACTTATATAGTAACTCAAAATCTCCAGGCCATATCGGACAACCAGATCCTGATAGTGATTCTTTGTAGCTGTTATTATATGTTTCATACTTATATAGTAACTCAAAATCTTCAGGCCATATCGGACAAGCAGATCCTGATAGTGATTCTTTGTAGCTGTTATTATATGTTTCATACTTATATAGTAACTCAAAATCTCCAGGCCATATCGGACAACCAGATCCTGATAGTGATTCTTTGTAGCTGTTATTATATGTTTCATACTTATATAGTAACTCAAAATCTCCAGGCCATATCGGACAACCAGATCCTGATAGTGATTCTTTGTAGCTGTTATTATATGTTTCATACTTATATAGTAACTCAAAATCTCCAGGCCATATCGGACAAGCAGACCCTGATAGTGATTCTTTGTAGCTGTTATTATATGTTTCATACTTATATAGTAACTCAAAATCTCCAGGCCATATCGGACAAGCAGATCCTGATAGTGATTCTTTGTAGCTGTTATTATATGTTTCATACTTATATAGTAACTCAAAATCTCCAGGCCATATCGGACAAGCAGATCCTGATAGTGATTCTTTGTAGCTGTTATTATATGTTTCATACTTATATAGTAACTCAAAATCTCCAGGCCATATCGGACAACCAGATCCTGATAGTGATTCTTTGTAGCTGTTATTATATGTTTCATACTTATATAGTAACTCAAAATCTCCAGGCCATATCGGACAAGCAGACCCTGATAGTGATTCTTTGTAGCTGTTATTATATGTTTCATACTTATATAGTAACTCAAAATCTCCAGGCCATATCGGACAAGCAGATCCTGATAGTGATTCTTTGTAGCTGTTATTATATGTTTCATACTTATATAGTAACTCAAAATCTCCAGGCCATATCGGACAAGCAGATCCTGATAGTGATTCTTTGTAGCTGTTATTATATGTTTCATACTTATACAGGGTGACTGGTGAATTACTATCAATATTTAAGGAGCATACTCGGTACATGATTCTCATTCGAATTATGTAAAAAAAATAGGCACTTAATTTTTGACAAAATTTCCGTATAAATAAATAAAGTGTTGACACGTTCCAAATGTTCAAGTGTGGACGCGTGCGGCGACGTGCTGATACAACACTACGTCACGACACGCGTATGTGTGAGTGTCAGTGTATACCTAATCTGTAGGGTGTTCATACGATGCGTAATTAATTACATAAGTTTTGGTTAACTTTACTTAGAAGTTTATTAATATTTATGTTATATTAATTTTTATTTTGTCATATATGATCGTCAAATATCACGTCCTCAAATATCGATAGCAATTCACCAGTCACCCTGTATAGTAACTCAAAATCTCCAGGCCATATCGGACAACCAGATCCTGATAGTGATTCTTTGTAGCTGTTATTATATGTTTCATACTTATATAGTAACTCAAAATCTCCAGGCCATATCGGACAACCAGATCCTGATAGTGATTCTTTGTAGCTGTTATTATATGTTTCATACTTATATAGTAACTCAAAATCTCCAGGCCATATCGGACAACCAGATCCTGATAGTGATTCTTTGTAGCTGTTATTATATGTTTCATACTTATATAGTAACTCAAAATCTCCAGGCCATATCGAACAAACAGATCCTGATAGTGATTCTTTGTAGCTGTTATTATATGTTTCATACTTATATAGTAACTCAAAATCTCCAGGCCATATCGGACAACCAGATCCTGATAGTGATTCTTTGTAGCTGTTATTATATGTTTCATACTTATATAGTAACTCAAAATCTCCAGGCCATATCGGACAACCAGATCCTGATAGTGATTCTTTGTAGCTGTTATTATATGTTTCATACTTATATAGTAACTCAAAATCTCCAGGCCATATCGGACAACCAGATCCTGATAGTGATTCTTTGTAGCTGTTATTATATGTTTCATACTTATATAGTAACTCAAAATCTCCAGGCCATATCGGACAACCAGATCCTGATAGTGATTCTTTGTAGCTGTTATTATATGTTTCATACTTATATAGTAACTCAAAATCTCCAGGCCATATCGGACAACCAGATCCTGATAGTGATTCTTTGTAGCTGTTATTATATGTTTCATACTTATATAGTAACTCAAAATCTCCAGGCCATATCGGACAACCAGATCCTGATAGTGATTCTTTGTAGCTGTTATTATATGTTTCATACTTATATAGTAACTCAAAATCTCCAGGCCATATCGGACAACCAGATCCTGATAGTGATTCTTTGTAGCTGTTATTATATGTTTCATACTTATATAGTAACTCAAAATCTCCAGGCCATATCGGACAAGCAGATCCTGATAGTGATTCTTTGTAGCTGTTATTATATGTTTCATACTTATATAGTAACTCAAAATCTCCAGGCCATATCGGACAAGCAGATCCTGATAGTGATTCTTTGTAGCTGTTATTATATGTTTCATACTTATATAGTAACTCAAAATCTCCAGGCCATATCGGACAACCAGATCCTGATAGTGATTCTTTGTAGCTGTTATTATATGTTTCATACTTATATAGTAACTCAAAATCTCCAGGCCATATCGGACAAGCAGATCCTGATAGTGATTCTTTGTAGCTGTTATTATATGTTTCATACTTATATAGTAACTCAAAATCTCCAGGCCATATCGGACAACCAGATCCTGATAGTGATTCTTTGTAGCTGTTATTATATGTTTCATACTTATATAGTAACTCAAAATCTCCAGGCCATATCGGACAACCAGATCCTGATAGTGATTCTTTGTAGCTGTTATTATATGTTTCATACTTATATAGTAACTCAAAATCTCCAGGCCATATCGGACAACCAGATCCTGATAGTGATTCTTTGTAGCTGTTATTATATGTTTCATACTTATATAGTAACTCAAAATCTCCAGGCCATATCGGACAACCAGATCCTGATAGTGATTCTTTGTAGCTGTTATTATATGTTTCATACTTATATAGTAACTCAAAATCTCCAGGCCATATCGGACAACCAGATCCTGATAGTGATTCTTTGTAGCTGTTATTATATGTTTCATACTTATATAGTAACTCAAAATCTCCAGGCCATATCGGACAACCAGATCCTGATAGTGATTCTTTGTAGCTGTTATTATATGTTTCATACTTATATAGTAACTCAAAATCTCCAGGCCATATCGGACAACCAGATCCTGATAGTGATTCTTTGTAGCTGTTATTATATGTTTCATACTTATATAGTAACTCAAAATCTCCAGGCCATATCGGACAACCAGATCCTGATAGTGATTCTTTGTAGCTGTTATTATATGTTTCATACTTATATAGTAACTCAAAATCTCCAGGCCATATCGGACAACCAGATCCTGATAGTGATTCTTTGTAGCTGTTATTATATGTTTCATACTTATATAGTAACTCAAAATCTCCAGGCCATATCGGACAACCAGATCCTGATAGTGATTCTTTGTAGCTGTTATTATATGTTTCATACTTATATAGTAACTCAAAATCTCCAGGCCATATCGGACAACCAGATCCTGATAGTGATTCTTTGTAGCTGTTATTATATGTTTCATACTTATATAGTAACTCAAAATCTCCAGGCCATATCGGACAACCAGATCCTGATAGTGATTCTTTGTAGCTGTTATTATATGTTTCATACTTATATAGTAACTCAAAATCTTCAGGCCATATCGGACAAGCAGATCCTGATAGTGATTCTTTGTAGCTGTTATTATATGTTTCATACTTATATAGTAACTCAAAATCTCCAGGCCATATCGGACAACCAGATCCTGATAGTGATTCTTTGTAGCTGTTATTATATGTTTCATACTTATATAGTAACTCAAAATCTCCAGGCCATATCGGACAAGCAGATCCTGATAGTGATTCTTTGTAGCTGTTATTATATGTTTCATACTTATACAGGGTGACTGGTGAATTACTATCAATATTTAAGGAGCATACTCGGTACATGATTCTCATTCGAATTATGTAAAAAAAATAGGCACTTAATTTTTGACAAAATTTCCGTATAAATAAATAAAGTGTTGACACGTTCCAAATGTTCAAGTGTGGACGCGTGCGGCGACGTGCTGATACAACACTACGTCACGACACGCGTATGTGTGAGTGTCAGTGTATACCTAATCTGTAGGGTGTTCATACGATGCGTAATTAATTACATAAGTTTTGGTTAACTTTACTTAGAAGTTTATTAATATTTATGTTATATTAATTTTTATTTTGTCATATATGATCGTCAAATATCACGTCCTCAAATATCGATAGCAATTCACCAGTCACCCTGTATAGTAACTCAAAATCTCCAGGCCATATCGGACAACCAGATCCTGATAGTGATTCTTTGTAGCTGTTATTATATGTTTCATACTTATATAGTAACTCAAAATCTCCAGGCCATATCGGACAACCAGATCCTGATAGTGATTCTTTGTAGCTGTTATTATATGTTTCATACTTATATAGTAACTCAAAATCTCCAGGCCATATCGGACAACCAGATCCTGATAGTGATTCTTTGTAGCTGTTATTATATGTTTCATACTTATATAGTAACTCAAAATCTCCAGGCCATATCGGACAACCAGATCCTGATAGTGATTCTTTGTAGCTGTTATTATATGTTTCATACTTATATAGTAACTCAAAATCTCCAGGCCATATCGGACAACCAGATCCTGATAGTGATTCTTTGTAGCTGTTATTATATGTTTCATACTTATATAGTAACTCAAAATCTCCAGGCCATATCGGACAACCAGATCCTGATAGTGATTCTTTGTAGCTGTTATTATATGTTTCATACTTATATAGTAACTCAAAATCTCCAGGCCATATCGGACAACCAGATCCTGATAGTGATTCTTTGTAGCTGTTATTATATGTTTCATACTTATATAGTAACTCAAAATCTCCAGGCCATATCGGACAACCAGATCCTGATAGTGATTCTTTGTAGCTGTTATTATATGTTTCATACTTATATAGTAACTCAAAATCTCCAGGCCATATCGGACAACCAGATCCTGATAGTGATTCTTTGTAGCTGTTATTATATGTTTCATACTTATATAGTAACTCAAAATCTCCAGGCCATATCGGACAACCAGATCCTGATAGTGATTCTTTGTAGCTGTTATTATATGTTTCATACTTATATAGTAACTCAAAATCTCCAGGCCATATCGGACAACCAGATCCTGATAGTGATTCTTTGTAGCTGTTATTATATGTTTCATACTTATATAGTAACTCAAAATCTCCAGGCCATATCGGACAAGCAGATCCTGATAGTGATTCTTTGTAGCTGTTATTATATGTTTCATACTTATATAGTAACTCAAAATCTCCAGGCCATATCGGACAAGCAGATCCTGATAGTGATTCTTTGTAGCTGTTATTATATGTTTCATACTTATATAGTAACTCAAAATCTCCAGGCCATATCGGACAACCAGATCCTGATAGTGATTCTTTGTAGCTGTTATTATATGTTTCATACTTATATAGTAACTCAAAATCTCCAGGCCATATCGGACAAGCAGATCCTGATAGTGATTCTTTGTAGCTGTTATTATATGTTTCATACTTATATAGTAACTCAAAATCTCCAGGCCATATCGGACAAGCAGATCCTGATAGTGATTCTTTGTAGCTGTTATTATATGTTTCATACTTATATAGTAACTCAAAATCTCCAGGCCATATCGGACAACCAGATCCTGATAGTGATTCTTTGTAGCTGTTATTATATGTTTCATACTTATATAGTAACTCAAAATCTCCAGGCCATATCGGACAACCAGATCCTGATAGTGATTCTTTGTAGCTGTTATTATATGTTTCATACTTATATAGTAACTCAAAATCTCCAGGCCATATCGGACAACCAGATCCTGATAGTGATTCTTTGTAGCTGTTATTATATGTTTCATACTTATATAGTAACTCAAAATCTCCAGGCCATATCGGACAACCAGATCCTGATAGTGATTCTTTGTAGCTGTTATTATATGTTTCATACTTATATAGTAACTCAAAATCTCCAGGCCATATCGGACAACCAGATCCTGATAGTGATTCTTTGTAGCTGTTATTATATGTTTCATACTTATATAGTAACTCAAAATCTCCAGGCCATATCGGACAACCAGATCCTGATAGTGATTCTTTGTAGCTGTTATTATATGTTTCATACTTATATAGTAACTCAAAATCTCCAGGCCATATCGGACAACCAGATCCTGATAGTGATTCTTTGTAGCTGTTATTATATGTTTCATACTTATATAGTAACTCAAAATCTCCAGGCCATATCGGACAAGCAGATCCTGATAGTGATTCTTTGTAGCTGTTATTATATGTTTCATACTTATACAGGGTGACTGGTGAATTACTATCAATATTTAAGGAGCATACTCGGTACATGATTCTCATTCGAATTATGTAAAAAAAATAGGCACTTAATTTTGACAAAATTTCCGTATAAATAAATAAAGTGTTGACACGTTCCAAATGTTCAAGTGTGGACGCGTGCGGCGACGTGCTGATACAACACTACGTCACGACACGCGTATGTGTGAGTGTCAGTGTATACCTAATCTGTAGGGTGTTCATACGATGCGTAATTAATTACATAAGTTTTGGTTAACTTTACTTAGAAGTTTATTAATATTTATGTTATATTAATTTTTATTTTGTCATATATGATCGTCAAATATCACGTCCTCAAATATCGATAGCAATTCACCAGTCACCCTGTATAGTAACTCAAAATCTCCAGGCCATATCGGACAACCAGATCCTGATAGTGATTCTTTGTAGCTGTTATTATATGTTTCATACTTATATAGTAACTCAAAATCTCCAGGCCATATCGGACAACCAGATCCTGATAGTGATTCTTTGTAGCTGTTATTATATGTTTCATACTTATATAGTAACTCAAAATCTCCAGGCCATATCGGACAAGCAGATCCTGATAGTGATTCTTTGTAGCTGTTATTATATGTTTCATACTTATATAGTAACTCAAAATCTCCAGGCCATATCGGACAACCAGATCCTGATAGTTATTCTTTGTAGCTGTTATTATATGTTTCATACTTATATAGTAACTCAAAATCTCCAGGCCATATCGGACAACCAGATCCTGATAGTGATTCTTTGTAGCTGTTATTATATGTTTCATACTTATATAGTAACTCAAAATCTCCAGGCCATATCGGACAAGCAGATCCTGATAGTGATTCTTTGTAGCTGTTATTATATGTTTCATACTTATATAGTAACTCAAAATCTCCAGGCCATATCGGACAAGCAGATCCTGATAGTGATTCTTTGTAGCTGTTATTATATGTTTCATACTTATATAGTAACTCAAAATCTCCAGGCCATATCGGACAAGCAGATCCTGATAGTGATTCTTTGTAGCTGTTATTATATGTTTCATACTTATATAGTAACTCAAAATCTCCAGGCCATATCGGACAAGCAGATCCTGATAGTGATTCTTTGTAGCTGTTATTATATGTTTCATACTTATATAGTAACTCAAAATCTCCAGGCCATATCGGACAACCAGATCCTGATAGTGATTCTTTGTAGCTGTTATTATATGTTTCATACTTATATAGTAACTCAAAATCTCCAGGCCATATCGGACAACCAGATCCTGATAGTGATTCTTTGTAGCTGTTATTATATGTTTCATACTTATATAGTAACTCAAAATCTCCAGGCCATATCGGACAACCAGATCCTGATAGTGATTCTTTGTAGCTGTTATTATATGTTTCATACTTATATAGTAACTCAAAATCTCCAGGCCATATCGGACAACCAGATCCTGATAGTGATTCTTTGTAGCTGTTATTATATGTTTCATACTTATATAGTAACTCAAAATCTCCAGGCCATATCGGACAAGCAGATCCTGATAGTGATTCTTTGTAGCTGTTATTATATGTTTCATACTTATATAGTAACTCAAAATCTCCAGGCCATATCGGACAAGCAGATCCTGATAGTGATTCTTTGTAGCTGTTATTATATGTTTCATACTTATATAGTAACTCAAAATCTCCAGGCCATATCGGACAACCAGATCCTGATAGTGATTCTTTGTAGCTGTTATTATATGTTTCATACTTATATAGTAACTCAAAATCTCCAGGCCATATCGGACAAGCAGATCCTGATAGTGATTCTTTGTAGCTGTTATTATATGTCTCATACTTATATAGTAACTCAAAATCTCCAGGCCATATCGGACAACCAGATCCTGATAGTGATTCTTTGTAGCTGTTATTATATGTTTCATACTTATATAGTAACTCAAAATCTCCAGGCCATATCGGACAACCAGATCCTGATAGTGATTCTTTGTAGCTGTTATTATATGTTTCATACTTATATAGTAACTCAAAATCTCCAGGCCATATCGGACAACCAGATCCTGATAGTGATTCTTTGTAGCTGTTATTATATGTTTCATACTTATATAGTAACTCAAAATCTCCAGGCCATATCGGACAACCAGATCCTGATAGTCATTCTTTGTAGCTGTTATTATATGTTTCATACTTATATAGTAACTCAAAATCTCCAGGCCATATCGGACAACCAGATCCTGATAGTGATTCTTTGTAGCTGTTATTATATGTTTCATACTTATATAGTAACTCAAAATCTCCAGGCCATATCGGACAAGCAGATCCTGATAGTGATTCTTTGTAGCTGTTATTATATGTTTCATACTTATATAGTAACTCAAAATCTCCAGGCCATATCGGACAAGCAGATCCTGATAGTGATTCTTTGTAGCTGTTATTATATGTTTCATACTTATATAGTAACTCAAAATCTCCAGGCCATATCGGACAACCAGATCCTGATAGTGATTCTTTGTAGCTGTTATTATATGTTTCATACTTATATAGTAACTCAAAATCTCCAGGCCATATCGGACAACCAGATCCTGATAGTGATTCTTTGTAGCTGTTATTATATGTTTCATACTTATATAGTAACTCAAAATCTCCAGGCCATATCGGACAACCAGATCCTGATAGTGATTCTTTGTAGCTGTTATTATATGTTTCATACTTATATAGTAACTCAAAATCTCCAGGCCATATCGGACAACCAGATCCTGATAGTGATTCTTTGTAGCTGTTATTATATGTTTCATACTTATATAGTAACTCAAAATCTCCAGGCCATATCGGACAACCAGATCCTGATAGTGATTCTTTGTAGCTGTTATTATATGTTTCATACTTATATAGTAACTCAAAATCTCCAGGCCATATCGGACAACCAGATCCTGATAGTGATTCTTTGTAGCTGTTATTATATGTTTCATACTTATATAGTAACTCAAAATCTCCAGGCCATATCGGACAACCAGATCCTGATAGTGATTCTTTGTAGCTGTTATTATATGTTTCATACTTATATAGTAACTCAAAATCTCCAGGCCATATCGGACAACCAGATCCTGATAGTGATTCTTTGTAGCTGTTATTATATGTTTCATACTTATATAGTAACTCAAAATCTCCAGGCCATATCGGACAACCAGATCCTGATAGTGATTCTTTGTAGCTGTTATTATATGTTTCATACTTATATAGTAACTCAAAATCTCCAGGCCATATCGGACAAGCAGATCCTGATAGTGATTCTTTGTAGCTGTTATTATATGTTTCATACTTATATAGTAACTCAAAATCTCCAGGCCATATCGGACAACCAGATCCTGATAGTGATTCTTTGTAGCTGTTATTATATGTTTCATACTTATATAGTAACTCAAAATCTCCAGGCCATATCGGACAAGCAGATCCTGATAGTGATTCTTTGTAGCTGTTATTATATGTTTCATACTTATATAGTAACTCAAAATCTCCAGGCCATATCGGACAACCAGATCCTGATAGTGATTCTTTGTAGCTGTTATTATATGTTTCATACTTATATAGTAACTCAAAATCTCCAGGCCATATCGGACAACCAGATCCTGATAGTGATTCTTTGTAGCTGTTATTATATGTTTCATACTTATATAGTAACTCAAAATCTCCAGGCCATATCGGACAACCAGATCCTGATAGTGATTCTTTGTAGCTGTTATTATATGTTTCATACTTATATAGTAACTCAAAATCTCCAGGCCATATCGGACAAGCAGATCCTGATAGTGATTCTTTGTAGCTGTTATTATATGTTTCATACTTATATAGTAACTCAAAATCTCCAGGCCATATCGGACAACCAGATCCTGATAGTGATTCTTTGTAGCTGTTATTATATGTTTCATACTTATATAGTAACTCAAAATCTCCAGGCCATATCGGACAACCAGATCCTGATAGTGATTCTTTGTAGCTGTTATTATATGTTTCATACTTATATAGTAACTCAAAATCTCCAGGCCATATCGGACAAGCAGATCCTGATAGTGATTCTTTGTAGCTGTTATTATATGTTTCATACTTATATAGTAACTCAAAATCTCCAGGCCATATCGGACAACCAGATCCTGATAGTGATTCTTTGTAGCTGTTATTATATGTTTCATACTTATATAGTAACTCAAAATCTCCAGGCCATATCGGACAACCAGATCCTGATAGTGATTCTTTGTAGCTGTTATTATATGTTTCATACTTATATAGTAACTCAAAATCTCCAGGCCATATCGGACAAGCAGATCCTGATAGTGATTCTTTGTAGCTGTTATTATATGTTTCATACTTATATAGTAACTCAAAATCTCCAGGCCATATCGGACAACCAGATCCTGATAGTGATTCTTTGTAGCTGTTATTATATGTTTCATACTTATATAGTAACTCAAAATCTCCAGGCCATATCGGACAACCAGATCCTGATAGTGATTCTTTGTAGCTGTTATTATATGTTTCATACTTATATAGTAACTCAAAATCTCCAGGCCATATCGGACAACCAGATCCTGATAGTGATTCTTTGTAGCTGTTATTATATGTTTCATACTTATATAGTAACTCAAAATCTCCAGGCCATATCGGACAACCAGATCCTGATAGTGATTCTTTGTAGCTGTTATTATATGTTTCATACTTATATAGTAACTCAAAATCTCCAGGCCATATCGGACAACCAGATCCTGATAGTGATTCTTTGTAGCTGTTATTATATGTTTCATACTTATATAGTAACTCAAAATCTCCAGGCCATATCGGACAACCAGATCCTGATAGTGATTCTTTGTAGCTGTTATTATATGTTTCATACTTATATAGTAACTCAAAATCTCCAGGCCATATCGGACAACCAGATCCTGATAGTGATTCTTTGTAGCTGTTATTATATGTTTCATACTTATATAGTAACTCAAAATCTCCAGGCCATATCGGACAAGCAGATCCTGATAGTGATTCTTTGTAGCTGTTATTATATGTTTCATACTTATATAGTAACTCAAAATCTCCAGGCCATATCGGACAAGCAGATCCTGATAGTGATTCTTTGTAGCTGTTATTATATGTTTCATACTTATATAGTAACTCAAAATCTCCAGGCCATATCGGACAACCAGATCCTGATAGTGATTCTTTGTAGCTGTTATTATATGTTTCATACTTATATAGTAACTCAAAATCTCCAGGCCATATCGGACAACCAGATCCTGATAGTGATTCTTTGTAGCTGTTATTATATGTTTCATACTTATATAGTAACTCAAAATCTCCAGGCCATATCGGACAACCAGATCCTGATAGTGATTCTTTGTAGCTGTTATTATATGTTTCATACTTATATAGTAACTCAAAATCTCCAGGCCATATCGGACAACCAGATCCTGATAGTGATTCTTTGTAGCTGTTATTATATGTTTCATACTTATATAGTAACTCAAAATCTCCAGGCCATATCGGACAACCAGATCCTGATAGTGATTCTTTGTAGCTGTTATTATATGTTTCATACTTATATAGTAACTCAAAATCTCCAGGCCATATCGGACAACCAGATCCTGATAGTGATTCTTTGTAGCTGTTATTATATGTTTCATACTTATATAGTAACTCAAAATCTCCAGGCCATATCGGACAACCAGATCCTGATAGTGATTCTTTGTAGCTGTTATTATATGTTTCATACTTATATAGTAACTCAAAATCTCCAGGCCATATCGGACAAGCAGATCCTGATAGTGATTCTTTGTAGCTGTTATTATATGTTTCATACTTATACAGGGTGACTGGTGAATTACTATCAATATTTAAGGAGCATACTCGGTACATGATTCTCATTCGAATTATGTAAAAAAAATAGGCACTTAATTTTTGACAAAATTTCCGTATAAATAAATAAAGTGTTGACACGTTCCAAATGTTCAAGTGTGGACGCGTGCGGCGACGTGCTGATACAACACTACGTCACGACACGCGTATGTGTGAGTGTCAGTGTATACCTAATCTGTAGGGTGTTCATACGATGCGTAATTAATTACATAAGTTTTGGTTAACTTTACTTAGAAGTTTATTAATATTTATGTTATATTAATTTTTATTTTGTCATATATGATCGTCAAATATCACGTCCTCAAATATCGATAGCAATTCACCAGTCACCCTGTATAGTAACTCAAAATCTCCAGGCCATATCGGACAACCAGATCCTGATAGTGATTCTTTGTAGCTGTTATTATATGTTTCATACTTATATAGTAACTCAAAATCTCCAGGCCATATCGGACAACCAGATCCTGATAGTGATTCTTTGTAGCTGTTATTATATGTTTCATACTTATATAGTAACTCAAAATCTCCAGGCCATATCGGACAAGCAGATCCTGATAGTGATTCTTTGTAGCTGTTATTATATGTTTCATACTTATATAGTAACTCAAAATCTCCAGGCCATATCGGACAACCAGATCCTGATAGTTATTCTTTGTAGCTGTTATTATATGTTTCATACTTATATAGTAACTCAAAATCTCCAGGCCATATCGGACAACCAGATCCTGATAGTGATTCTTTGTAGCTGTTATTATATGTTTCATACTTATATAGTAACTCAAAATCTCCAGGCCATATCGGACAAGCAGATCCTGATAGTGATTCTTTGTAGCTGTTATTATATGTTTCATACTTATATAGTAACTCAAAATCTCCAGGCCATATCGGACAAGCAGATCCTGATAGTGATTCTTTGTAGCTGTTATTATATGTTTCATACTTATATAGTAACTCAAAATCTCCAGGCCATATCGGACAAGCAGATCCTGATAGTGATTCTTTGTAGCTGTTATTATATGTTTCATACTTATATAGTAACTCAAAATCTCCAGGCCATATCGGACAAGCAGATCCTGATAGTGATTCTTTGTAGCTGTTATTATATGTTTCATACTTATATAGTAACTCAAAATCTCCAGGCCATATCGGACAACCAGATCCTGATAGTGATTCTTTGTAGCTGTTATTATATGTTTCATACTTATATAGTAACTCAAAATCTCCAGGCCATATCGGACAACCAGATCCTGATAGTGATTCTTTGTAGCTGTTATTATATGTTTCATACTTATATAGTAACTCAAAATCTCCAGGCCATATCGGACAACCAGATCCTGATAGTGATTCTTTGTAGCTGTTATTATATGTTTCATACTTATATAGTAACTCAAAATCTCCAGGCCATATCGGACAACCAGATCCTGATAGTGATTCTTTGTAGCTGTTATTATATGTTTCATACTTATATAGTAACTCAAAATCTCCAGGCCATATCGGACAAGCAGATCCTGATAGTGATTCTTTGTAGCTGTTATTATATGTTTCATACTTATATAGTAACTCAAAATCTCCAGGCCATATCGGACAAGCAGATCCTGATAGTGATTCTTTGTAGCTGTTATTATATGTTTCATACTTATATAGTAACTCAAAATCTCCAGGCCATATCGGACAACCAGATCCTGATAGTGATTCTTTGTAGCTGTTATTATATGTTTCATACTTATATAGTAACTCAAAATCTCCAGGCCATATCGGACAAGCAGATCCTGATAGTGATTCTTTGTAGCTGTTATTATATGTCTCATACTTATATAGTAACTCAAAATCTCCAGGCCATATCGGACAACCAGATCCTGATAGTGATTCTTTGTAGCTGTTATTATATGTTTCATACTTATATAGTAACTCAAAATCTCCAGGCCATATCGGACAACCAGATCCTGATAGTGATTCTTTGTAGCTGTTATTATATGTTTCATACTTATATAGTAACTCAAAATCTCCAGGCCATATCGGACAACCAGATCCTGATAGTGATTCTTTGTAGCTGTTATTATATGTTTCATACTTATATAGTAACTCAAAATCTCCAGGCCATATCGGACAACCAGATCCTGATAGTGATTCTTTGTAGCTGTTATTATATGTTTCATACTTATATAGTAACTCAAAATCTCCAGGCCATATCGGACAACCAGATCCTGATAGTGATTCTTTGTAGCTGTTATTATATGTTTCATACTTATATAGTAACTCAAAATCTCCAGGCCATATCGGACAAGCAGATCCTGATAGTGATTCTTTGTAGCTGTTATTATATGTTTCATACTTATATAGTAACTCAAAATCTCCAGGCCATATCGGACAAGCAGATCCTGATAGTGATTCTTTGTAGCTGTTATTATATGTTTCATACTTATATAGTAACTCAAAATCTCCAGGCCATATCGGACAACCAGATCCTGATAGTGATTCTTTGTAGCTGTTATTATATGTTTCATACTTATATAGTAACTCAAAATCTCCAGGCCATATCGGACAACCAGATCCTGATAGTGATTCTTTGTAGCTGTTATTATATGTTTCATACTTATATAGTAACTCAAAATCTCCAGGCCATATCGGACAACCAGATCCTGATAGTGATTCTTTGTAGCTGTTATTATATGTTTCATACTTATATAGTAACTCAAAATCTCCAGGCCATATTGGACAACCAGATCCTGATAGTGATTCTTTGTAGCTGTTATTATATGTTTCATACTTATATAGTAACTCAAAATCTCCAGGCCATATCGGACAACCAGATCCTGATAGTGATTCTTTGTAGCTGTTATTATATGTTTCATACTTATATAGTAACTCAAAATCTCCAGGCCATATCGGACAACCAGATCCTGATAGTGATTCTTTGTAGCTGTTATTATATGTTTCATACTTATATAGTAACTCAAAATCTCCAGGCCATATCGGACAACCAGATCCTGATAGTGATTCTTTGTAGCTGTTATTATATGTTTCATACTTATATAGTAACTCAAAATCTCCAGGCCATATCGGACAACCAGATCCTGATAGTGATTCTTTGTAGCTGTTATTATATGTTTCATACTTATATAGTAACTCAAAATCTCCAGGCCATATCGGACAACCAGATCCTGATAGTGATTCTTTGTAGCTGTTATTATATGTTTCATACTTATATAGTAACTCAAAATCTCCAGGCCATATCGGACAAGCAGATCCTGATAGTGATTCTTTGTAGCTGTTATTATATGTTTCATACTTATATAGTAACTCAAAATCTCCAGGCCATATCGGACAACCAGATCCTGATAGTGATTCTTTGTAGCTGTTATTATATGTTTCATACTTATATAGTAACTCAAAATCTCCAGGCCATATCGGACAAGCAGATCCTGATAGTGATTCTTTGTAGCTGTTATTATATGTTTCATACTTATATAGTAACTCAAAATCTCCAGGCCATATCGGACAACCAGATCCTGATAGTGATTCTTTGTAGCTGTTATTATATGTTTCATACTTATATAGTAACTCAAAATCTCCAGGCCATATCGGACAACCAGATCCTGATAGTGATTCTTTGTAGCTGTTATTATATGTTTCATACTTATATAGTAACTCAAAATCTCCAGGCCATATCGGACAACCAGATCCTGATAGTGATTCTTTGTAGCTGTTATTATATGTTTCATACTTATATAGTAACTCAAAATCTCCAGGCCATATCGGACAAGCAGATCCTGATAGTGATTCTTTGTAGCTGTTATTATATGTTTCATACTTATATAGTAACTCAAAATCTCCAGGCCATATCGGACAACCAGATCCTGATAGTGATTCTTTGTAGCTGTTATTATATGTTTCATACTTATATAGTAACTCAAAATCTCCAGGCCATATCGGACAACCAGATCCTGATAGTGATTCTTTGTAGCTGTTATTATATGTTTCATACTTATATAGTAACTCAAAATCTCCAGGCCATATCGGACAAGCAGATCCTGATAGTGATTCTTTGTAGCTGTTATTATATGTTTCATACTTATATAGTAACTCAAAATCTCCAGGCCATATCGGACAACCAGATCCTGATAGTGATTCTTTGTAGCTGTTATTATATGTTTCATACTTATATAGTAACTCAAAATCTCCAGGCCATATCGGACAACCAGATCCTGATAGTGATTCTTTGTAGCTGTTATTATATGTTTCATACTTATATAGTAACTCAAAATCTCCAGGCCATATCGGACAAGCAGATCCTGATAGTGATTCTTTGTAGCTGTTATTATATGTTTCATACTTATATAGTAACTCAAAATCTCCAGGCCATATCGGACAACCAGATCCTGATAGTGATTCTTTGTAGCTGTTATTATATGTTTCATACTTATATAGTAACTCAAAATCTCCAGGCCATATCGGACAACCAGATCCTGATAGTGATTCTTTGTAGCTGTTATTATATGTTTCATACTTATATAGTAACTCAAAATCTCCAGGCCATATCGGACAACCAGATCCTGATAGTGATTCTTTGTAGCTGTTATTATATGTTTCATACTTATATAGTAACTCAAAATCTCCAGGCCATATCGGACAACCAGATCCTGATAGTGATTCTTTGTAGCTGTTATTATATGTTTCATACTTATATAGTAACTCAAAATCTCCAGGCCATATCGGACAACCAGATCCTGATAGTGATTCTTTGTAGCTGTTATTATATGTTTCATACTTATATAGTAACTCAAAATCTCCAGGCCATATCGGACAACCAGATCCTGATAGTGATTCTTTGTAGCTGTTATTATATGTTTCATACTTATATAGTAACTCAAAATCTCCAGGCCATATCGGACAACCAGATCCTGATAGTGATTCTTTGTAGCTGTTATTATATGTTTCATACTTATATAGTAACTCAAAATCTCCAGGCCATATCGGACAACCAGATCCTGATAGTGATTCTTTGTAGCTGTTATTATATGTTTCATACTTATATAGTAACTCAAAATCTCCAGGCCATATCGGACAACCAGATCCTGATAGTGATTCTTTGTAGCTGTTATTATATGTTTCATACTTATATAGTAACTCAAAATCTCCAGGCCATATCGGACAACCAGATCCTGATAGTGATTCTTTGTAGCTGTTATTATATGTTTCATACTTATATAGTAACTCAAAATCTCCAGGCCATATCGGACAACCAGATCCTGATAGTGATTCTTTGTAGCTGTTATTATATGTTTCATACTTATATAGTAACTCAAAATCTCCAGGCCATATCGGACAACCAGATCCTGATAGTGATTCTTTGTAGCTGTTATTATATGTTTCATACTTATATAGTAACTCAAAATCTCCAGGCCATATCGGACAACCAGATCCTGATAGTGATTCTTTGTAGCTGTTATTATATGTTTCATACTTATATAGTAACTCAAAATCTCCAGGCCATATCGGACAACCAGATCCTGATAGTGATTCTTTGTAGCTGTTATTATATGTTTCATACTTATATAGTAACTCAAAATCTCCAGGCCATATCGGACAAGCAGATCCTGATAGTGATTCTTTGTAGCTGTTATTATATGTTTCATACTTATATAGTAACTCAAAATCTCCAGGCCATATCGGACAACCAGATCCTGATAGTGATTCTTTGTAGCTGTTATTATATGTTTCATACTTATATAGTAACTCAAAATCTCCAGGCCATATCGGACAACCAGATCCTGATAGTGATTCTTTGTAGCTGTTATTATATGTTTCATACTTATATAGTAACTCAAAATCTCCAGGCCATATCGGACAACCAGATCCTGATAGTGATTCTTTGTAGCTGTTATTATATGTTTCATACTTATATAGTAACTCAAAATCTCCAGGCCATATCGGACAACCAGATCCTGATAGTGATTCTTTGTAGCTGTTATTATATGTTTCATACTTATATAGTAACTCAAAATCTCCAGGCCATATCGGACAAGCAGATCCTGATAGTGATTCTTTGTAGCTGTTATTATATGTTTCATACTTATATAGTAACTCAAAATCTCCAGGCCATATCGGACAACCAGATCCTGATAGTGATTCTTTGTAGCTGTTATTATATGTTTCATACTTATATAGTAACTCAAAATCTCCAGGCCATATCGGACAAGCAGATCCTGATAGTGATTCTTTGTAGCTGTTATTATATGTTTCATACTTATATAGTAACTCAAAATCTCCAGGCCATATCGGACAACCAGATCCTGATAGTGATTCTTTGTAGCTGTTATTATATGTTTCATACTTATATAGTAACTCAAAATCTCCAGGCCATATCGGACAACCAGATCCTGATAGTGATTCTTTGTAGCTGTTATTATATGTTTCATACTTATATAGTAACTCAAAATCTCCAGGCCATATCGGACAACCAGATCCTGATAGTGATTCTTTGTAGCTGTTATTATATGTTTCATACTTATATAGTAACTCAAAATCTCCAGGCCATATCGGACAACCAGATCCTGATAGTGATTCTTTGTAGCTGTTATTATATGTTTCATACTTATATAGTAACTCAAAATCTCCAGGCCATATCGGACAACCAGATCCTGATAGTGATTCTTTGTAGCTGTTATTATATGTTTCATACTTATAAAGTAACTCAAAATCTCCAGGCCATATCGGACAACCAGATCCTGATAGTGATTCTTTGTAGCTGTTATTATATGTTTCATACTTATATAGTAACTCAAAATCTCCAGGCCATATCGGACAACCAGATCCTGATAGTGATTCTTTGTAGCTGTTATTATATGTTTCATACTTATATAGTAACTCAAAATCTCCAGGCCATATCGGACAACCAGATCCTGATAGTGATTCTTTGTAGCTGTTATTATATGTTTCATACTTATATAGTAACTCAAAATCTCCAGGCCATATCGGACAACCAGATCCTGATAGTGATTCTTTGTAGCTGTTATTATATGTTTCATACTTATATAGTAACTCAAAATCTCCAGGCCATATCGGACAACCAGATCCTGATAGTGATTCTTTGTAGCTGTTATTATATGTTTCATACTTATATAGTAACTCAAAATCTCCAGGCCATATCGGACAACCAGATCCTGATAGTGATTCTTTGTAGCTGTTATTATATGTTTCATACTTATATAGTAACTCAAAATCTCCAGGCCATATCGGACAACCAGATCCTGATAGTGATTCTTTGTAGCTGTTATTATATGTTTCATACTTATATAGTAACTCAAAATCTCCAGGCCATATCGGACAACCAGATCCTGATAGTGATTCTTTGTAGCTGTTATTATATGTTTCATACTTATATAGTAACTCAAAATCTCCAGGCCATATCGGACAACCAGATCCTGATAGTGATTCTTTGTAGCTGTTATTATATGTTTCATACTTATATAGTAACTCAAAATCTCCAGGCCATATCGGACAACCAGATCCTGATAGTGATTCTTTGTAGCTGTTATTATATGTTTCATACTTATATAGTAACTCAAAATCTCCAGGCCATATCGGACAACCAGATCCTGATAGTGATTCTTTGTAGCTGTTATTATATGTTTCATACTTATATAGTAACTCAAAATCTCCAGGCCATATCGGACAACCAGATCCTGATAGTGATTCTTTGTAGCTGTTATTATATGTTTCATACTTATATAGTAACTCAAAATCTCCAGGCCATATCGGACAACCAGATCCTGATAGTGATTCTTTGTAGCTGTTATTATATGTTTCATACTTATATAGTAACTCAAAATCTCCAGGCCATATCGGACAACCAGATCCTGATAGTGATTCTTTGTAGCTGTTATTATATGTTTCATACTTATATAGTAACTCAAAATCTCCAGGCCATATCGGACAACCAGATCCTGATAGTGATTCTTTGTAGCTGTTATTATATGTTTCATACTTATATAGTAACTCAAAATCTCCAGGCCATATCGGACAACCAGATCCTGATAGTGATTCTTTGTAGCTGTTATTATATGTTTCATACTTATATAGTAACTCAAAATCTCCAGGCCATATCGGACAAGCAGATCCTGATAGTGATTCTTTGTAGCTGTTATTATATGTTTCATACTTATATAGTAACTCAAAATCTCCAGGCCATATCGGACAACCAGATCCTGATAGTGATTCTTTGTAGCTGTTATTATATGTTTCATACTTATATAGTAACTCAAAATCTCCAGGCCATATCGGACAACCAGATCCTGATAGTGATTCTTTGTAGCTGTTATTATATGTTTCATACTTATATAGTAACTCAAAATCTCCAGGCCATATCGGACAAGCAGATCCTGATAGTGATTCTTTGTAGCTGTTATTATATGTTTCATACTTATATAGTAACTCAAAATCTCCAGGCCATATCGGACAACCAGATCCTGATAGTGATTCTTTGTAGCTGTTATTATATGTTTCATACTTATATAGTAACTCAAAATCTCCAGGCCATATCGGACAACCAGATCCTGATAGTGATTCTTTGTAGCTGTTATTATATGTTTCATACTTATATAGTAACTCAAAATCTCCAGGCCATATCGGACAACCAGATCCTGATAGTGATTCTTTGTAGCTGTTATTATATGTTTCATACTTATATAGTAACTCAAAATCTCCAGGCCATATCGGACAACCAGATCCTGATAGTGATTCTTTGTAGCTGTTATTATATGTTTCATACTTATATAGTAACTCAAAATCTCCAGGCCATATCGGACAACCAGATCCTGATAGTGATTCTTTGTAGCTGTTATTATATGTTTCATACTTATATAGTAACTCAAAATCTCCAGGCCATATCGGACAACCAGATCCTGATAGTGATTCTTTGTAGCTGTTATTATATGTTTCATACTTATATAGTAACTCAAAATCTCCAGGCCATATCGGACAACCAGATCCTGATAGTGATTCTTTGTAGCTGTTATTATATGTTTCATACTTATATAGTAACTCAAAATCTCCAGGCCATATCGGACAACCAGATCCTGATAGTGATTCTTTGTAGCTGTTATTATATGTTTCATACTTATATAGTAACTCAAAATCTCCAGGCCATATCGGACAACCAGATCCTGATAGTGATTCTTTGTAGCTGTTATTATATGTTTCATACTTATATAGTAACTCAAAATCTCCAGGCCATATCGGACAACCAGATCCTGATAGTGATTCTTTGTAGCTGTTATTATATGTTTCATACTTATATAGTAACTCAAAATCTCCAGGCCATATCGGACAACCAGATCCTGATAGTGATTCTTTGTAGCTGTTATTATATGTTTCATACTTATATAGTAACTCAAAATCTCCAGGCCATATCGGACAACCAGATCCTGATAGTGATTCTTTGTAGCTGTTATTATATGTTTCATACTTATATAGTAACTCAAAATCTCCAGGCCATATCGGACAACCAGATCCTGATAGTGATTCTTTGTAGCTGTTATTATATGTTTCATACTTATATAGTAACTCAAAATCTCCAGGCCATATCGGACAACCAGATCCTGATAGTGATTCTTTGTAGCTGTTATTATATGTTTCATACTTATATAGTAACTCAAAATCTTCAGGCCATATCGGACAAGCAGACCCTGATAGTGATTCTTTGTAGCTGTTATTATATGTTTCATACTTATATAGTAACTCAAAATCTCCAGGCCATATCGGACAACCAGATCCTGATAGTGATTCTTTGTAGCTGTTATTATATGTTTCATACTTATATAGTAACTCAAAATCTCCAGGCCATATCGGACAAGCAGATCCTGATAGTGATTCTTTGTAGCTGTTATTATATGTTTCATACTTATACAGGGTGACTGGTGAATTACTATCAATATTTAAGGAGCATACTCGGTACATGATTCTCATTCGAATTATGTAAAAAAAATAGGCACTTAATTATTGACAAAATTTCCGTATAAATAAATAAAGTGTTGACACGTTCCAAATGTTCAAGTGTGGACGCGTGCGGCGACGTGCTGATACAACACTACGTCACGACACGCGTATGTGTGAGTGTCAGTGTATACCTAATCTGTAGGGTGTTCATACGATGCGTAATTAATTACATAAGTTTTGGTTAACTTTACTTAGAAGTTTATTAATATTTATGTTATATTAATTTTTATTTTGTCATATATGATCGTCAAATATCACGTCCTCAAATATCGATAGCAATTCACCAGTCACCCTGTATAGTAACTCAAAATCTCCAGGCCATATCGGACAACCAGATCCTGATAGTGATTCTTTGTAGCTGTTATTATATGTTTCATACTTATATAGTAACTCAAAATCTCCAGGCCATATCGGACAACCAGATCCTGATAGTGATTCTTTGTAGCTGTTATTATATGTTTCATACTTATATAGTAACTCAAAATCTCCAGGCCATATCGGACAACCAGATCCTGATAGTGATTCTTTGTAGCTGTTATTATATGTTTCATACTTATATAGTAACTCAAAATCTCCAGGCCATATCGGACAAGCAGATCCTGATAGTGATTCTTTGTAGCTGTTATTATATGTTTCATACTTATATAGTAACTCAAAATCTCCAGGCCATATCGGACAAGCAGATCCTGATAGTGATTCTTTGTAGCTGTTATTATATGTTTCATACTTATATAGTAACTCAAAATCTCCAGGCCATATCGGACAACCAGATCCTGATAGTGATTCTTTGTAGCTGTTATTATATGTTTCATACTTATATAGTAACTCAAAATCTCCAGGCCATATCGGACAACCAGATCCTGATAGTGATTCTTTGTAGCTGTTATTATATGTTTCATACTTATATAGTAACTCAAAATCTCCAGGCCATATCGGACAACCAGATCCTGATAGTGATTCTTTGTAGCTGTTATTATATGTTTCATACTTATATAGTAACTCAAAATCTCCAGGCCATATCGGACAACCAGATCCTGATAGTGATTCTTTGTAGCTGTTATTATATGTTTCATACTTATATAGTAACTCAAAATCTCCAGGCCATATCGGACAACCAGATCCTGATAGTGATTCTTTGTAGCTGTTATTATATGTTTCATACTTATATAGTAACTCAAAATCTCCAGGCCATATCGGACAACCAGATCCTGATAGTGATTCTTTGTAGCTGTTATTATATGTTTCATACTTATATAGTAACTCAAAATCTCCAGGCCATATCGGACAACCAGATCCTGATAGTGATTCTTTGTAGCTGTTATTATATGTTTCATACTTATATAGTAACTCAAAATCTCCAGGCCATATCGGACAACCAGATCCTGATAGTGATTCTTTGTAGCTGTTATTATATGTTTCATACTTATATAGTAACTCAAAATCTCCAGGCCATATCGGACAACCAGATCCTGATAGTGATTCTTTGTAGCTGTTATTATATGTTTCATACTTATATAGTAACTCAAAATCTCCAGGCCATATCGGACAACCAGATCCTGATAGTGATTCTTTGTAGCTGTTATTATATGTTTCATACTTATATAGTAACTCAAAATCTCCAGGCCATATCGGACAACCAGATCCTGATAGTGATTCTTTGTAGCTGTTATTATATGTTTCATACTTATATAGTAACTCAAAATCTCCAGGCCATATCGGACAACCAGATCCTGATAGTGATTCTTTGTAGCTGTTATTATATGTTTCATACTTATATAGTAACTCAAAATCTCCAGGCCATATCGGACAACCAGATCCTGATAGTGATTCTTTGTAGCTGTTATTATATGTTTCATACTTATATAGTAACTCAAAATCTCCAGGCCATATCGGACAACCAGATCCTGATAGTGATTCTTTGTAGCTGTTATTATATGTTTCATACTTATATAGTAACTCAAAATCTCCAGGCCATATCGGACAACCAGATCCTGATAGTGATTCTTTGTAGCTGTTATTATATGTTTCATACTTATATAGTAACTCAAAATCTTCAGGCCATATCGGACAACCAGATCCTGATAGTGATTCTTTGTAGCTGTTATTATATGTTTCATACTTATATAGTAACTCAAAATCTTCAGGCCATATCGGACAACCAGACCCTGATAGTGATTCTTTGTAGCTGTTATTATATGTTTCATACTTATATAGTAACTCAAAATCTCCAGGCCATATCGGACAACCAGATCCTGATAGTGATTCTTTGTAGCTGTTATTATATGTTTCATACTTATATAGTAACTCAAAATCTCCAGGCCATATCGGACAACCAGATCCTGATAGTGATTCTTTGTAGCTGTTATTATATGTTTCATACTTATATAGTAACTCAAAATCTCCAGGCCATATCGGACAAGCAGATCCTGATAGTGATTCTTTGTAGCTGTTATTATATGTTTCATACTTATATAGTAACTCAAAATCTCCAGGCCATATCGGACAAGCAGATCCTGATAGTGATTCTTTGTAGCTGTTATTATATGTTTCATACTTATATAGTAACTCAAAATCTCCAGGCCATATCGGACAACCAGATCCTGATAGTGATTCTTTGTAGCTGTTATTATATGTTTCATACTTATATAGTAACTCAAAATCTCCAGGCCATATCGGACAACCAGATCCTGATAGTGATTCTTTGTAGCTGTTATTATATGTTTCATACTTATATAGTAACTCAAAATCTCCAGGCCATATCGGACAACCAGATCCTGATAGTGATTCTTTGTAGCTGTTATTATATGTTTCATACTTATATAGTAACTCAAAATCTCCAGGCCATATCGGACAACCAGATCCTGATAGTGATTCTTTGTAGCTGTTATTATATGTTTCATACTTATATAGTAACTCAAAATCTCCAGGCCATATCGGACAACCAGATCCTGATAGTGATTCTTTGTAGCTGTTATTATATGTTTCATACTTATATAGTAACTCAAAATCTTCAGGCCATATCGGACAACCAGATCCTGATAGTGATTCTTTGTAGCTGTTATTATATGTTTCATACTTATATAGTAACTCAAAATCTTCAGGCCATATCGGACAACCAGACCCTGATAGTGATTCTTTGTAGCTGTTATTATATGTTTCATACTTATATAGTAACTCAAAATCTCCAGGCCATATCGGACAACCAGATCCTGATAGTGATTCTTTGTAGCTGTTATTATATGTTTCATACTTATATAGTAACTCAAAATCTCCAGGCCATATCGGACAAGCAGATCCTGATAGTGATTCTTTGTAGCTGTTATTATATGTTTCATACTTATATAGTAACTCAAAATCTCCAGGCCATATCGGACAAGCAGATCCTGATAGTGATTCTTTGTAGCTGTTATTATATGTTTCATACTTATATAGTAACTCAAAATCTCCAGGCCATATCGGACAAGCAGATCCTGATAGTGATTCTTTGTAGCTGTTATTATATGTTTCATACTTATATAGTAACTCAAAATCTCCAGGCCATATCGGACAAGCAGATCCTGATAGTGATTCTTTGTAGCTGTTATTATATGTTTCATACTTATATAGTAACTCAAAATCTCCAGGCCATATCGGACAAGCAGATCCTGATAGTGATTCTTTGTAGCTGTTATTATATGTTTCATACTTATATAGTAACTCAAAATCTCCAGGCCATATCGGACAAGCAGATCCTGATAGTGATTCTTTGTAGCTGTTATTATATGTTTCATACTTATATAGTAACTCAAAATCTCCAGGCCATATCGGACAACCAGATCCTGATAGTGATTCTTTGTAGCTGTTATTATATGTTTCATACTTATATAGTAACTCAAAATCTCCAGGCCATATCGGACAACAACAACAAAGTCGGTTAGCAAGAGTTAGAACGTCCAATATATATGTACATATGTTAAGAAAGATATTAGATGCCTTTATTTTCATTATTGTATAAGTAATATTCTATAAGCTGTTTTAAAAACACGGTATAGTTAAATTGCATTTGTATGAACGTTACAGCTCTAGTTAACCACTCTGTATAATATTAAGTAATTTTGTGTAATATAAATAAAGGAAATATACCTCTGTGGAATTCTTGCTACATATTTAGCTATTGCAATATATTTAAACTATTTCAATTTTCAAATTTCAGACAAATTAGGAAATTTACCATATAAAACTATTTACAATAAAGTCCCGGATAATATTCTAGTTGCCAACCAAATATGTATTAATACGTTCATGCATATTTATATTTTTATGACACTTATAAGGCTAAGGTTTATCAAAAACATTTGATTTGTCTGTATTTATATAATCTTCTAAACCTGGTGTCTTCTTTCTTAAATCATAGTATGGAACTATTAGTGACCTTTACGAAGCAGGGATTATATTACAAAAGTTGTCGTCAAGTTCAATGCAAAAGAAATTGTTCAGCATTTAGATTGATTTTTTTAACTTGCACACATTTGGGCTACTTTAAGAAAGATTGTCATATGGAAATTATTTTCAATCGCAGGGCGTTTATTAAGTGCTAAAACTAAAATTCAGAGAAATGAGGAACAATCTATGTATGTACATATATAAAAATTTTAATACCTTTTTCCCTTGGTCACGGCATCACGCGTGAATTGCTGGACCGATTTCACTGATTCTTTTTTTGTTGTATAATGTATTTGTTATTGATAGGAGAAGGTTCTTATGTAATAAAAAAATACGAAAATTACTAGAAAAGAAAATAACTACAATGTTTCACTTTTATGTTAAAATAATATGTCACTGGCGGTAATATCACGTAGTTAGAATAAAGTATTAGAATAATAAACACTTTGTTTTTGGAATAATGTTTATATGTATTAATATACCAATAAGAATCCAATAATCACAGTAAGAAGACAGACCATTGTCTGTCGGGTCAGTTATACTTAATAAAGAAATTAATTTTATTCAGATAAAAGGTAACAGATATAGGGTTCGCCGGGTCAGCTAGTTATTAATAAAGCGAATTTTCAAAAGGAACATAATTTAATTGGATAATTATGAATTATAGGTTTCTCACAAATATATTGAATTTTTGTCTACACTGTGAATTTTGTTGTCATATAGTTTTGGTGAAATTTACAAATGTACATGTTAAGTACATGACATGTACATATATTTCAAATTGTATAAAAAACAATGAAATCAAATGATATTGTCAATTAAATGAAACTAATATTTTCGGATTTACTACGCGTTTTTATTTTTGACTATAAACTTCATACTCCCGACGTTTTGGTTACTTTACAGCAACCGTGATCACGGGCAGATTAGATGTGATATAGTCAATTGTTGAATTGCAATTATTAAAACTTATTATAAGTAAAATATTTGTATATATCGGATTTATTACAAATTCATTGTTTTCTAAGAGAGAGACGCCAGCCTCGCTGACGTTACAAATGTCACTTCTACTAAAGCTCCATGATATTTTAAAATGAAACTTCAATTGTTCTTAATATTCCTGTATTTCTTGAAGGTTCTTCATAATCACATACTTCAATGATACGCACTCACTGAACTCTGAACACGTCATATTTATACCAAGATTTAAATCTAGTTCTATTCTCCTTTCAAACAATATTTGATTTCGTTTTACTTTTAACAATAATCATAAATACTAATGAGTTTTAATAAGAATTGATGACAGCCTCAAATTATTTTCACGTCTCATCCGTCATTAAAGCTGGTAGCGCCGATAAGGCCATTCTGACAGGCGGTGCGTGCTCTGCACCTGCCTGGTGATGTATTCCCTCTTGGTTGGTGTTCGTTACGTTCTTGGACCAGTCCCCCGTCTCGTAGAGTAGATGGGGCAGGATCAAGAATTGATGCTTCATCTTCCGAAGACATGCCGATACGGTCATACCGGTGTTTGCTCTGCATTGTTTTCTGTGATAACAGAGAAATACTTTTGTAGTCTAGGTACTTCCACAGTAAACCTAGGTAACTTTATATTGTTACAATTATGGATATCAAATTTGTTGTGGTCATATGGGTGACGTTGTTTACTACGACACATCGTCAGATGGTCATAATATCACGTCCAATTATCTAAGATACTTAAGATGTCCTCAAGCTCATGAATATTAATTAAATACAAACAATTAACCCTAACAATTATAATGTTACCAAAAGTATATATTTGCGTTTTATTCTTTTTATATTAAAATACAAGATCAATAAATTGTAAAGATATGAGTGTTTTAAAAATATTATTACATTCCACGTCTGATACGCTTATAAGTTATAGCCATCTCTTAAAGTGAATTTTATTATAGAATGGAATTTAGAAAACTTATTTAAATATATAAATATGTAATTAATTATTATTTGAAAATATTAAAATAAATTTTAATTTCAAATTCCTTAATAACAATTTCATTTCGGTCATAACAGAAATTTCATTTTCCTTACAGTATTCAGTCAACTTCTAAATAATATTCTTTATTAAAAATCTCTAACAAAAAAAAGTAATATTGTTTGAAACCGTTATTAAATTAAATAAAAAAATGTTTTTCACTTAAATGAACTTGAATACAAATCATCAAAAATTTATGCTATTTTAAATTAAATATTACATGTACTATAGAAATATATTTTGCGAATATTGCTCAGAAATAACATGAAAATTTTATAAGAGAGCAGTAGATATTACTTAAAACAACATATAATTTTATATACTTTGATGCTTTTCATGAGTTATCAAGTATTTTTCGCTCATTTTGCTGTTTTGAACAAAGTTTAGTGTGTCATATCAAACCCGACGAGTTCGTTTCAGTATGCATAAATATGTAACTTTACCTTTTAGTATTGCAAATGTTACTCATTTCATTATTAGAAATCCTTGTTAAACTAAGGACCATATCTAATTTAAATTCATAAAAATAAAGCCCCATCTTTGCTACTTCGTCGTTCTAAATGAAAACAGTTCTTTTATTTGTGGAACAAAACTTTAATCATAATATTTATACCTACCTTATACTGTTTTGTAACTAATTTGAAAACATTATTAAAATTTTAAGTAAACGTTACATCTGGAAATGTGACTGGAAATGACATTTAAAATATTGCGTTTTACGTCACAGCTTATATTAGCTACAGAAATTAAACTATGTATCTTAATCTGTCAAGAAGTATTAATTTTAAACTCAGTTCTTAATGTTACTAATGGATTTGATTTAACAAATTTAGGTAAGAAATAAGCGTCCGTAATCGTTACTAGAGGCTTATAAATGATTAATTATTATTACATATATTCAAAAATGTCTGCGGCAAGGAGAATGATCTACTTTGGGGCGGTCAAATTTATGCTCCGTTTATATCTCATATTTGACGCTGGCAAGCGATATAAAACCTATTTGGATGTTCCCGTTGACCCAGTATTATGAATTTGGCAGGCAGGTGTCACGAGAGAAAAGAATAAAAAACTTTACGACCTCCCACACTTTCATTGAAATGATTCCGTATTAAGTTTAAAAATATATATATCATTAGATAAACGCCTTTATTCCGTTTGAAAGACACCTTCTACAAACAGTTTTCAAGATTATAATTCGTTCAACAAATAAAAACGTTGATATTGGAGAAATATTTAACAATTCCAATGAGTAGAAGTCATAGCGTAAGAAAAAACATATTTAGGAACAATTGTCACTACAAAAAGATCGGGGACAGTTGTAATAGCATCTGGCTTGAAATCGAATTGCAATGTATTGCTTTCAAGTCCACCTATAAATATAATATTCTGTTTGACTATAAGACAATTTGGGAACTAAGGAACTAAATCTTAATTCAATTTGGCTTAAGAAACATACTTAACAACATTCTCTGACTTGAAATAGAATCTCTCATAATGTTATGGATAGGGTTAAACTAACCTATCTTTTTACAAACAAAACTTAATAATAAAATAATGGATAAAATTAATTTGAATCCTTCTTTGTTGAAATCTTATTGGTTTGTTTTAAGACAATATTTGTGAATTTGTGAAAAATTTACTTATAATTTAGATACATTTTATCGAAAAACAAACAAAATTATTTTAGCGTAAATAAACAATGGACTTAAAACTTTCAAAGTAAAATTTCTTTAAAGTAAATAAACTTCTTATTACATAATTTGTCTGCTGCGGTCTTTATGTTAATTTCGGTAAATTCTCTACTGGCTTAATATAACAAGGTATAAAGCATTTTAAGAATTCAGATTGTAAAACGTACAACATCCTGTACATTTATATTGCTCCAACAAAGAAGTTTCAACAAATTAGCAGCGTAAATGAACAACATCTAGAAAAACAGATTGCATTTTTTAGTACCTGACGAGTTCGTTTTATTCTATTCTGGATAGGACGAAATATTCCTATCACGCCTAACAAACGCGAATCGATTGATGAATCGATTTCTAAAAAACATAGCTAAGAACACTCAACGGATATACCTTTCAAACAAAAAAACCGCATTAAAATCGGCTCATATTTTTGGGAGCTACGTTACATCAGACAGAAATATACACACACACACACACAGACACATAGACACGTCAAACTTATAACCCTGTAGTTTTTGCGTCGGGGATTAAAAACACAACAGTAATGAATAAAGTTAGTAATGAATTTTGTATTATTTTCCAGACAAATCTACAAAGACCTATCATGCCTAGTGGATGTATGTCAGCAGGCTGTAACGTTAGATCGTCTCGTGCACTACGCATTAAGAAGGGAGCTACGTACTATGGAAGACTTCCTGTATGTGATACAGGAGAGCGAAATAGTGGCTGATAGAATCGTGAGTATATGTGTTTTATAAGGCAGCCCTACTAGGGCTACTACCTACTAAATGACTTGGGCCTGTCCAGAACTCACATTAACTCATTCCTGGATCGTACTTCGAAGGCAGTCCTTGTAGGTTCTTTTCAAATTTGGTTAGGTAGAGAGAGGAGCTTGGACAGTGGAGGTGAGCGTTTAACGCGCGTTAGATAGGGACCCTTTAAACCTACATCTGAGTCGCAAGTCACAGACACTGTTGAAGCTCCTCTCACTACAACGATGGACCTGGCACCCGCACGGTAAATACATTGAATTCTAAAGAGGTTTTGTCTGCATATAGTTTGTATTGTGTTCGTTATTAATTGATTCATCCAAATTCATAATTTGGATAAACACTTTATTTTTAATAAGGATTATCATATAAAAGCATAGGTATAATTTGTTTTAGGATCAATCTAAAACGGTTTAGTGCTGCCATCTAGTTAAACTTAACCACATATATAGTAAAGTATGTCAAGATTTTATTTTATAAAAATTAATTAAAGGAATTATAATTTTATTTGGACCTACTTTCTTAAAATTCTGATATGTTTTTAAGTTTTTTGAATAATTCTGATGCATGATTTTAATTTTTTGCATATTTATTTTCTTGACATATAAGTATGTAATTTATAATTTTTCAGAAATCAATGACTGATATATGCAAAGAACAGGAAAATGTTGAAAGAAATCTACAAAAACTAAACATTTTAGTACAAAGTTTGTCTTCAATACTTGGAGTAAATAGTACAGATGTGTTGTTATATGTTAAGACTTATAATGAATTGATGAGTAGAGGTAGCCAGTTGAAAGAAAATATAACTAAGGAATATAAAAGAAAGGAAAATGAATTGATGCAATAGTAAGTATGATTTGAGTGTAATTTATAATATATTTATATTTTTTTTTTGTCTTAGTACAAAAGGAATTATTTTAAACCTACGTACAATTATTTATCAATATATTATATAAAAATTATTTAATGACACAATGTTAGAAAAGTTCTTGAAAATAATTATTACGTTTTCCTATAAACACAAAAAACAATATAAATTGTTTCGCCTGGTAGCCATTAACTAAAATATTTTATGATAATTAGTAAGTTGCCCCCCTTGCTGGCCGTAATGCTACATGCGATAGGGTAACAGAAATGCTCTACTTCAATTAGAATATAATAATTAACTTTCCAAAATAGTGAATTTAGTTAAAAATTCGTTAATTACGGTTCTACCAATATGATAGACTTCATAGACTTTTTTAAAAGTCAATACAATGCAGGACTTTTAGTGTGAACTAATTGAATGAGTAAACTTATTTATTAACACTCAACATACCTAGTATTAATAAACATATTAATAGCTAATACAACTGCTACTTCAATGTTTCCTATATATATAAATACAATAAATTTTCAGTAAGAATTCATCGGCCCACCTAAGATCCAACGTACATGATGGTTGTACAAAACAACCAAACTGTAACAACACAGTCATCTCAGCCATGAGACACCGACTGATACAAGACAGAGATGTTGTGGATGACAGGATCGTTGAAACAAGCGTTATGTTCAATGATGTTAAGGTAATGAAAGATACTTACCTAAGAATCTACTTAGGTAACTTCTAGTAAATTAGAAAGTTACTTAGGTAACTAGTATTTACTATCAATATATTAAGATTATGGTGTCATAAAGTGATCACATTGTGAATTTTAATAATAATATTTGAATGAAACTATTATTTTTCCGATTACTACGAGTATTTTATTATTTTTAATGGTCGAAAAGATGTTTACCGTTATCACGGTTGGTGAAAAGTAACAGTAACGTCGAGAATATGTAGTTTTTAAAAATAATATAATAACGCGTATGTAGTAATCAGAAAATTAAATTTACATGACAGAAATACTTGATTGATGGTTTTTTGACTTAACTGCACCTTGTCATAAGATACGAATTTCCTTAGCCTGACTTGCAATCAACGTTCAGAATTTTATGATAGCTAATCATTATTCACCCTCATCCAGTTCAGAATTCAAACCTCTAAACTTCATATTATTGTTAGCTTAAAAGAACTGTCTA